CTACTGCTGCAATACTCTGCTAGGGGTTAATTTCCCAAACCCTAACAATTCATAATTTTGCTAAATTATACTGCATCTTCCAGAATCCTTTACATAGTTCTTAAGTTTGTATTCAGCAACATCTGAAATGTTGCAGGTTCCCATCTCTCATTAGCTGAATTGGAGTGCAGCGGGTTCTTTTTGTTCAAAATCTGGAGGAAGATGTCAGAAGTTATTGCTGAGGAATGAGAATATCTATTTCACTAGGTAATGCACCAGATGGGAATTCAGTAATTCCTGGAAAAAGGGGACCCTGAGTTGATTCCTGGATCATCCTTTCACTTCACATATATGGGTCCCCTATGATCACAGAACCAGAAGAGGCAATCAAGCCCATTTCCCTGCACATTGTAGGATACTTCTTCTTTTTCTTCCATTCAATTGTGCCCCATTCTTGGAGATTGCCTGGACAAGTCCCCGCAGGATTTTGGACAAGGTTTTTCAGAGGTGATCTGCCATTGTCTCCAGTGGTGGGATTCAAATAATTTAACAACCGGTTCTCTGCCCTAATGATTTCTTCCAAAAACCAGTTCACCAAGCCACTCAGAAAGTTAACAACTGGTTCTCCCGAACTTTTGCGAACTGGCTGAATCCCATCACTGACTGTCTCCTCCCTAGGTCTGACTGCCTCAAGATCACTCAATTGGCTTTGTGCTCAAAGCAGGACTACAATTCATGATCTCCCAGTTTTTAGCCTGGTACCTCAAAAACGACATCAAACTCTCAAGAGTTGGCTCTTGGCTCTCAAGATTCATTACATCACCACAAATATTTATAGCCTTTGCTTGAAAACCTCCAATGAAGAAGAAACCACTCCACATAGCAACTTATTCCACTGATTGATGGTTGTTATTGTCAATAAGTTTTTCCTAATGTCTGTTCTATATCCACCTCTTTGAATTTTAATCCCAGAAACTGTTAGAACAACCAAGAAGGAAGTTCAGCTTAGACCTCAAAGTAAAGAGGTGTGAGGGATCAAAACAGGTAATAGTAGCACAGTGAATTTAGTACTTACCACATTATTAGAGCTACCAGTCTCATGATAGCCTCATTAAGGCTGTCGAAGAACTCTCTCAATGCCCGACCTTGTTCCTTCATATTGCCAATCACTAATCCAAAACTGATGGAGAAGACAACCAGTCCAAGTGCATTCACTCCATTTACAGCGCCTGGTACAGGGATCATCTCCTTCTTCATCCAAGTTAGGTTTCCCACAGCTTCTGTTACATTATTTATAATGCCAGCAAGGACCGATGTTTCATTAGAATCATCATGTGCATGATCATGTGTATGATGAACATGCTCTTCATAGTTCGTTTTGAACTGTTAATGATGGTTAGGACAAATATTACATTCACGTGTGAGGAATTCTAGAAGCCTTATTTCTAATTGCTCAAATGCAATTATCAACAGATGTGTCTGACCTCTCTGGATGAAGACAGAAATAATCTAAATAAGGAGGGAGGGTTTCCTTGGTGGTCTCTGAGCTTGCTTGTTTTCTTGCAGACTTTTCATTACCCAAACTAGATAACATCATTGGCAGGGGTGGGATTCAATTTTTTTAACAACCGGTTCTGTGGGCGTGGCTTAGTTGGTGGGCATGGCTTGGTGGTCATGTGACTGGGTGGACGTGGCTTGGTGGTCATGTGACTGGCTGGGCGTGGCCAACTCAATATCACTCACATCAAGGCACACATCTCCTCGCCTGGCCTCTCATGACTGTGGGGATGCTGCAACAGTCGTAAGTGTGAAAAATGGTCATAAGTCACTTTTTTCAGTGCCATTGTAACTTTGAACACAAAGTACCAACAAGGAGGGAAAAAAACCTCCAGAGAAGTTCCTGAGACAGGAAATCTAGTCCTGCCAAGAATGTAATAAGGGTTAACGGAGAAGCAGTTTCTGTAAGCAACACCAGAATGTTTCCTTCTTGCCTTCCTTACAGGATTAGGTCAGTAATTTCTTCTAACAACCGGTTCTCCGAACTGCTTAGAATGTTAACAACTGGTTCTAGCGAATAGGTGCAAACTGGTAGAATCCCACCCCTGATCATTGGTGCTAGTAAGGAGTGCAGTTTGCGGTCAGTTTATATTCTAGTGCTATGGTGGCAAACCACGCAGAAAAGATGCATTGCGCATGTGTGTGCGCTGCTGCCCACCAGCTGATTGTCAGGTATCTGGTGCACATGTGCAGCAGCAGCGCACAGGAGACATGCACGCATGCACAGAAGTGTGCAGTGTGGTCGTGCGGGGCCCATGCGCATTTCCTTCTGGGTGATGGCACGCAGGAGTGCGCGCACAATTATCAGCACAGGAACCGAAAAATGTTAGCCACAGGGGTGGGATTCTACCAGTTCGCACCTATTTGCTAGAACCAGTTGTTAACATTCTAAGCAGTTCGGAGAACCGGTTGTTAGAAGAAATTACTGGCCTAATCCTGTAAGGAAGGCAGGAAGGAAACATTCTGGTGTTGCTTACAGAAACTGCTTCTCAGTTAAACCTTATTACATTCTTGGCAGGACTAGACTTCCTATCTCAGGAATGTCTCTGGAGTTTTCCCCCCCTCCTTTGCTGGTACTTTGCTTGTGTGGAGTGACCATTCAAAGTTACAATGGCACTGAAAAAAAGTGACTTCTGACCATTTTTCACACTTATGACTGTTGAAGCATCCTCACAGTCATGAAAGGCCAGGTGAGGAGATGCGTGCCTCGATGTGAGTGATATTGAGTTGGCCATGCCCAGTCAATAACATGACCACCAAGCCACACCCACTACCTAGGCCACGCCCACAGAACCAGTTGTTAAAAAATTTGAATCCCATCCCTGGTTAGCCACCACTGTTCTAGTTGTTTGCCCTGTCAGTGTTGGTGCGGGTGGGCTTAGAGGTTCTTTGATTGGGCTGTTTACTATCTGCTTCTTTGGCAGTTGCTTGATTGGAGTATTGTTTAGTTGATTGTTAGTCTGATTTTAACCTTGGAGTTAATCTATGCTGATCTGGGTGCTGATTGCTGGTGAAAAAGTGTTTGGATCTTTTTGTACCCTTTTTGGTTGGTTGACTGTCTTTTTTTGCATATTCTACTGATGTTGTTAATGTCTATGTGTCTATTGACAGCTAATTTGTCAGAGTGTCAGGTTTCTAGAAATTCCCTGACATTTTTGGATTTAACTTAGTCTGGGAAAATTACACTTTCTCAATTGAATCTATGGTTAAGTCTGTCTATATGTTGTGAAGAATTTTCATCATGTTAATCTCTAATCTAAACACTGCTGGCTTCTAATATTATGCTCTACTTTTAATAATAACGAAGCACGTCTTCTCGCATCTATGGCTGTTGGAATATCAACAATAACCATAGGATGATTTTTTACACTTTTGATAAATCAGAGATCTGTGCAGAGAAGCAACTGGAAAATCTAATCCTGGTGGGTCATGAAGCTACGTCCACATAATACAATCTCTTGGAATCCCGTCTTAGGGAAGCTGTAAGTGCTTCTCCCTGGGAGACAATGAATAACAATTCCCTGCATTATAAGCTTGGTCTTTGTGTAATCCCAATTAAATCCGGACATGTAATATACCCACATATAGGATGGGATTCAATTTTTTTTTACCTGTTTGAAGCAGGCTTCTACAAGATTTGGAGGAAACATGTTTCTGTAAAGAAGAAAAAAATAGTATTTACCTATTAGCCATAATTTGTCATCCTATTAGGATCACGGTAAGAAACGATTAATTATTTTCCCCCCAATATTCCTTTAAACACAAAGTACAACTCAAATCCACATATTATGGGTTAGACAATTTGGTTGCTGGTAGCAGAAACCTGGTCAGTAGAATTGTTTTCTGGCCATGTACAGGCAGGCCCAGAAAACAATGGAAGAGCTTTGAGTCACTTGTCAGTCATCCTTATGGTCTCAGCTGCTTCACTGCTTCAAAATCAGATTTGCTTCTTTGTAAGCAAAGTGGTTCCTCAAAATGATTTGCATGTCCTGAATCAAATTATGCTATCCTCATGTAATTGAAATTTCTCTCACCAGTTAAATCTCTCACCAACACACATGTTCAATGAAGTGTTTCCTTCATTCGGGATATAATGAATGGTTATAATAAATAAGAACACCAATGTTTTCATTTTTAAGATAGCATCTCTTTGAATGATGACTTGTATTCCCAATGTCAACCATCAATTAGAATGACACCTAAGATATAGTAATCGGTAATGGTTTTAATCGGCATCAGAATGAGAAACTAACAAGAAAGCTAATACATTCACTTTGTCTTGCTCAGCTTGATGGTGAGCTATACTTACTTTGTATAAGTGTGCAAAGCTTTTGGGAACTGTGTGTCTTGGGTTTCCCAAAAATGTAAAGTACTGCCTCCAGCCACAAAACATTGTTCAACTGTGATCTGTGGCTATCAGGCTATTTTTGGACTATGTTTCAGAATTATTGAGCTGTGGTGGCACGGTAGTTAGAGTGCAGTACTGCAGGCTACTTCTGCTGCCTGCCGGCTGCCTGCAATTTGGCATTTTGAATCTCACCAGGCTTAAGGTTGACTCAGCCTTCCATCCTTCCGAGGTCAGTAAAATGAGGACCCAGATTGTTGGGGGCAATAGGCTGACTCTGTAAATCGCTTAGGGAGGGCTGTAAAGCACTGCAAAGCGGTATATAAGTCTTATTGCTATTGCTATTATTTCCAAGCTGAGGAGGTCACCTTGGTGTTCCATTGCATCATTCATTTCCTTAGCTTTACATTATCACTCATGAAGCATCTTTTTTTGATTTAGTGAATAGCTTTCCTCCAGGAAGGCCCTCCTATAATTCACACTAACCACGTTGCAATAAGAGGGCTGTAATCCCACATAATCAAAGGAGCCAAGTTGCAGAAAAATGCCACCTACCTGATTAAGTCCAGAAAGGCATCTGCAGCTGTCACTTGGACAATCTTGCCTTCTCTGTGCATTTTCTCCTTTGACCCTTTCCCAGGATGGATGATGACTACCATGATTATCCCAATCAGGACAGCTATAATTGTGGTGCTCATGTAATACACCACGGCTCGGAGACCCATTTTCCCTGATGCTTTACTGTCCAAGGCAGACACTCCTAACACAAAGGATGCACAAGGGGAAAGTTAGAGTCATACAACTCAGAAATTTAAGCTTCTTTGCAGAGGAATGACCTTCGCCCTCAATGTCCTCTTTGTCTGGTCCTTTTTCAAAGGTTTGGGAAGAACAAGAATCCTGAAATACCTTACCACTTATATCCATAAAGGTAGTCCTTGCTTAACAACCAGTCGTATGTGACTGTTTGAGGTTATGGCCAACCTCTTCAGAGCTACTTATAACTCAATTCTGGAGTTGAAATGGCCACACACACACACACCCCACATACATCCTACAGTTACATGATCAATTTGGGGTGCTTGGTAAGGGGCTCACATTTGCGACTAATTGTAGCATTTTGCAGTCATGTGACTGTGATTTTTGGTGTTTTTTGACCGTTTCCAGCATTATCTTCCAGTTTCCAGCAAAAAGAAAACAATGATCCTTGTTTAATGACTGCCACAAAAAGGTCATAAAATCGAATGTGTTTATGTGGTGATCAATTACAGTCAAGGACTACTTGGGTAACATTTTAAGGTTTTATCTATTTTTTTATTATTGTAAGCTGCCTCTAGGCGAGACAGTTTACCGAATAAATAAATAAATAAATAAATAAATAGGGCTTTGAGAAGGCTATATATATTTCAATTTTAGCTATAACAATTAATTCTACCTTTAGCATTTCACATTTGACTATTCTCCACAAACATGTCCATTCTTTTATGATAATGAATTTCCTGTTTTAATTCTTTAATTCATATTCATTTATTATTCATTCAATTATGAATTTCTTGCATTAATATGTTACCTCTCTTTTAAATAATTAACAGAACCTGGGCACACCTTCATTTTATCTTGACAATAACCAACTTGTTAGATACTGTAGATTGGGCTGAAAGGAATGGCTGCCCAATTCAACACTCTAACTACTATGTCATATTGGCTAACATGTAAGTGGCTACTCAGGTAATTATGTGTGAGGGATGGTTCCCATGGAGGGGGAGATGGATTACAAAGAAGAGGCAATTTCTGAGGAAGGAGGGAACACATTCGAAGGAGGGGGATGAGACAAGAGCCCAAAATCAAGAATAACACAGGGTGATTTTTCAAAGCTGAGTTCTTTATTGTTTCACCTATAGACAAAATCTTGCTATATTGAACACTTGACTATCTGCATCTACAATATATTCCACCAATATCTTCCAATATATTCCATGTGAATTATTGGGAAGGGGATGTTTTCACCCTTTTTCTCCCACATGTAATATCTAAGCAGTGTTGCTTGTTTTTAATGATCATCAGCCACTTGAAGACAAAATCTACCCTAGAGAGGTGGTAGTAACTTCTAAAGAGGGAATTCAAACTAAGCAGTCAATCCTTTGACCAATTTAATTAGGGGTCTTCCAGGCAAATCCTATAATAAACATAAGATTGAGACCTAGGGAGGTTAGCTTGGAGTATGGATTTGGGTGGGGAATAAACAGCAAAAGGGTGAACTTTGATTTAGGAAAACTGCAAATAGACTAAGGGTCCAGATGGATTTGAAAAAAAAGATATTGGAATTAATTCAAAGAATGTATCCTGTAGGAAAATGCTTAATAACTAAAAGGGTTATACAAATAGTAAATCAAGTGAGTGACCCAGATAATTTCCCTATATTAGATTTACAAAAGAGACTTGTTAAAGCTTTGCAGAATTCTGTGAGGAAGGACAAAGAAGAAAACGAAAAGAAATCAAGTTCTTAGGATATTATTTGAAAGAAGATTGAGACTGTTAAATTAAAAGGAAGGAATATAAAGTTGGCTTAGATCAAGGTTAAAACAGACATGTTAATTCTGGTAACCCTTAATGGACATTGAAATGACTATGCTTTAAGGATTTGTTTAGACATAAAAGATGGGGTGTGGGAATTTGCCACATTTTAAGAGAAGGTGATAAGTTACTAACTGTTTATAATTGTGATGAATGGGGAAGCCATTTCTCTCTATATATTTCATTTCATTTCTTTTTCTTTATTATATTCTTATTGTTATATTTTTTCTTTTTTGCACTTTATGTCTTTTTTTTTTTTAAATTTGTATCGGTTTTTATCCTTCTAATTGCAATTGTTAATAAAATTACTATTTGAACATAGCAATGCTTCACTAGCATATTTGACTATCTGCAGAAACTGCTAGGGAAAGCAACTGAACAAATTGTAACTCACCTGGTTTTGCTGAATTTAAATATTAATGAAGGTACAGGTGGCCTATATCCATTTTATGCATGTCATGTACCTTCAGTTGTTACTTCATTCTATTAAAATTCTGTGGGTCACCCCCTCCAACTGCAAGGAAATCTTATTTGTTTTTATTATTTGTTGCTACCTTGAACATACATCTCTTTATAGGCACATTTTTCCAAAGTGTGGATTCTTTAATATGCAAGTCCTATAAAGATTCATTGGTCTGAAAAATACCTGAAAAAAAATACTAATGAAATGATGCAGCCTGGCAAATGGCACAAACTGACATGTAATTAAATTGTAGCTGAAAGGGAATCCAGGATGGAATTAAATCACTGGCTTTTAAATCAAAGAATAATAAATATAACCAAGGGATTTCCGTAGTTCTCCCGAATATTTCAACCCCATACTGAAAGCAGATATGTGGTGCATACATACAGGAGTATGGGTGAGGATTGAAGTTAAAAACCTAACAATCTGGAAGCCATGAGATTAAGGGAGATTGTTTTCCCTACAGTAGGGATGCATAACTTTTCTAAGATTAAAAAGCTTAAGCATCCACAGGTCTGATGGCATTATCAAAGTGAGGACAGCAGAGCTGCTCAACTGCAAAGCAAGCTCTGCTCCTTTTGTACATCCATGCAATGTCACAACACATGTACAAAAAGAGATGCTGCAACAAAACACTGGTTTTATCTTTTGCAACCCCATACCCCCATATCTGCAAAGGGTACACTTATAAAGAGTAGACAGCATTTTTAGGAAACAAGATGCTGCATCAGAGACTTTTTACATTCTTCTTTGCTATTTATATGTATGCACACTAGGTTTGTGCAGCTCGTTGGATTCACTTTCCCAAAATTCAGAGCATGGATATAACATCTCTCTCTAACTCCTTAAAGCAAATAAAGTCTTGATTGAATTGGAAACATTGCACATCCCAATGACAATGTTGTGGTTGTTGAAGTGCACCCATGATTTGTTATGGCCAGGTTTTGCTGAAAACTGGAAGCAAATACCAGGTTTTGGCAAAACTGTCATAAAATGACCACGGAATGACACAAACAGCAGGCCCACTTGCTGAATGCCCGAAGTACAGTCATAGGACCATAGCGGAGAGAATCATTGGAACTTTGAATCTGGGTCGTAAGTATGGATCTGTCAAAGTCTATCAAAACTTCAAATGATCATTAAGTGACTGGTCATAAGTCGAAGACTACCTGTATCTTGGAATTCAGCTCTTAGGGTAAAATTGAGGAAGTAACTCATCCGTCTGCTCCTTTCCAATTCAGAATCTGTCACTTGTACCACAACCACTCAACGTTACTCCGTTCCCCAATGCCAGATTTGGCAAACCACCTCTGACTTCTCGGAAATTTGTGGAAAGTATTTTCTTCAGGCTCAAAAGTAATTTTGTCTTTTGCTGTAACTTCTCACAATCCTTGATGCTGACGCCAGGTTGCATAGTTAGAATAGCTCAGTGTTTTTCAACCTTGGAAACTTTAAGATGGGTGGACTTCCACAGCCAGAATTCCCCAAGCAGTCTTGCTAGCTAGGGAATTCTGGAAGCTGAAGTCCACACATCTTAAAATTGCTGAGGTTGAGAAATATTGGACTAGCCTACTCAAGACACACACACACACACATACACACACAAACCCTGGGGCTCTTTCTCTCAGAGCTGCATCCCATTTCTATTCTCAACTTTGTAAGCGCAAAGTAACACAATATTTCTAGATATCCAAGTCAGTGGCACATTTCCTGTTCTTCACATCTGCCAGAGTAGGACCCTACTGTGTGGGCTGTTTAGATACCACTTTAACTCTTTGCATTATTCCATCTTTTGCTCATGATATTGGAATGCACCACACAATATGCTTTTTGAAGAGAAACTAAGGGAGTAATTTATCTTCTTTATGTGTGCTAAGCAGAGCAGGAGGTAAGGACTAGCAGGGATTCACAGCAAGCCATAGAACGGTGATTAGTAACAGCTGACAGCTATGAACCGAGTCTCTTTCTCTTGGGTTGCCTCATTGTAATACCAGAGCACAAAGAACTAACTGTCCCGATGCCAAGAATCTGAAATGAAGGCTCACAGAAATAGCAGCCCAAAATTTTTCAGTAACCAAAGGCAGCCAATACCTGCTCGCTAGAGACCTGAAGAGACCATCCTTTGATGGATGTGACACTTAAATTAACCTGCTCTCCTATAAAAGCATTTTCCCATATCATTAAATGGCTTAAAATGGCCTTTTTCTGGTAGCTGGGATATGAGTCGGGTGAGGATATGAAAGTAAATGATGTATAATCAAAGCCCATTAGCTTCTGAAAAAAGGACTTTCACTTGATGATTTTGCTGGATTCCCTAATGTTGAAGTAACACAGTGAAACACAGTGATTTAATTAGAGGGAAGTCCATCAAAGTAACTTCCCAAGCCAACCAAACTTCTTCAAGCATAGCAAATTAGCAGGGAAACCAATTTTTTTTTTTTGGGGGGGGGGGGGGCGGTCTGAGGTAATACATCTGCAACATTTTCCCAATCTGTTACAATAATAATAGATTTAAATCTGCTTAAAAGATTAGCACGTTAACTTGGCTAGGAAACACCATTCCTTTCCTCCCAATTTATCCAGCCACAGATATAGTAAATGCTCAGACGTTATAAAGTGTCTTTTATTTAAATACAGTGGACCCAAAGGTCATGACCATAATCCGTTCCCGGACTCTTGTCGCAACCTGATTTGGTCATGTCTGGAAGCATGACCGACTGCATATG